TCATTTAATAAGTAACCTGTTTGAAAATACCATTTCATTATTATAGTCTTTACAGCCAGCAGTGAGAGACTGTAACAGTACTCTAACCAGACGAACAATGTTAGCAGAATTAAAATGCTAGAGTTACCCTTTTTTCCCTTATAGGTTATTAGTTGCTGGGAAGGTATCACATTTTGTATTCATTGCTGGAACAATGTGGAACCATGACAAAACCCTTCTGAGCATACAAAGACAAGCATTTCTTGGCAGCGAGGTTTGCTTGCCTTTGCCCCCAGCTAAGCCAAAGGTTTTTATGTAGAGATACAAGCATAAAAACAAATCTCTGAGTATATCTTGGCAGCCTCACCTCATTCCTGGGGCAAATACTGCAGACATCTGCAAGCCAGGAAACAAGGAACAGCAGCTCCTTACAAGAGAGGATTCCACAAGGAGGAGGAAGAGACTTCAGTCCAGGCCGCTTGGGAATTTCTAAGACGCAAGTCCACAAAATTATCACGTTTGGATGTTTTGTCTAAGAAGGCTCATGGTAATTTGGAGATGAGCAATGGTTTAAGTACTTGTCCATGAAATCATTGGATGCAGCCCAAGTGCATTTAAATCATCTTATCAAGCGCAGCATCAGGGCCTTAGTAGCATGTCTGCTGGTCTGACATCTTTTGCACATTGCTCATGTGTTCATTTCTTTGCTGATAAATTCACTCTGTGGCCTAAACCACTGAGCCTCTTGGGCTTGCTGATCATAAGGTGGGCAGTTTGAAGCACCACAACAGAGTGAGCTCCCATTGCTCTGTCCCAGCTCCTGCCAACCTAGCAGTTCGAAAGCACGCCAGTGCAAGTAGATAAATAGGTATCGCTGTGGCGGGAAGGTAAACAGCGTTTACATGTGCTCTGGCACTCGTCACGGTGTCCCGTTGTGCCAGAAGCGGTGTAGTCCTGCTGGCCACATGACCAGAAAGCTGTCTGCAGAAAAAACGCCAGCTCCCTCGGCCTGAAAGCGAAATGAGCACAGCAAGCCCATGGTCGCTTTTGACTGGACTTAACCATCCAGGGGTCCTTTACCTTTACCTTTACCTTTACCTTATGGGTACCAGGCCCATAGCAGAACTGTCAAAAGTACCCACCTGTCACAATTGCTCGCTTTGTTTCAGTCCATGGTTTCTCCCAAAGGTCGTAGCAATGATGGTGAGAAATGGGAAGGCTACAGCCTGTGGTCTAGATCTTTGTAGCCTCTGAAGGTCCGGGAAATTAGCTACTCTGGATGGGTTTGCCTTTAGAGGAAGATAAGGTAGAGACCCCTCTGGGTTTGGGGTTTTGTTTTAATTTATCAACTGCCCCGTCCATTAAAAAAAACAAACTCTATTCAACTAAGGATTTATAGGACTCTATTCTATTTTATGATATATATATATAGGTAAAGGTAAAGGGACCCCTGACCATTAGGTCCAGTCGTGGCCGACTCTGGGGTTGCGGCGCTCATCTTGCTTTACTGGCTGAGGGAGCCGGCGTACAGTTTCCGGGTCATGTGGCCAGCACGACTAAGCTTCTGGCGAACCAGAGCAGCACACAGAAACACTGTTTACCTTCCCGCCAGAGCAGTACCTATTTATCTACTTGCACTTTGACGTGCTTTCAGACTGCTTGGTTGGCAGTGAGCAAAGGGAGCTCACCCAGTCGTGGGGATTCGAACCGCCGACCTTCTGACCGACAAGTCCTAGGCTCTGTGGTTTAACCCACAGCGCCACCCGTGTCCATATATATATATAATAGGTGGTAGACAAACTCTAGGAATCCTTGAAGTAGGCACCCTTCTTCAGCCTTCGCTATCTGGCTTCTCATAACTGGTTTGAGGATGAAAGGAACATTGTAGCTCTGGTGGATGAACTGTGCCTAAAGATTACAGACCCTCCATGTCTCCCTATTTTCCAGGGACAGTCCCAGATTTACAGAAGCCATCCCAGTTTCTGGAATGTCTCGCTTTTGCTTAGGACACACCTTGCTTAGGACACACACTTAGGAGGAATGCATGGAGTTATTCAACCCTCTGAGCCAAGGAGATAAGGAACTATACAACCTTTCGAAGACACCTGGAGGCAGCTCTGTATAGGGAAGTTTTTTAACATTTTATTATGTTTTTAATATATGTTGGAAGGCAACCCAGTCAGATGGACAGGGTATAAATATTAAAATTAGTAGTAGTGATAGTAGTAGTAGTATGGACTAGGACGTCCCTATTTTTCTTGGAGAAATGTTGGAGGGTATGAGATTGACATGGGGGAATACCCAGTGGCTGGTGTCAATTGGCTGATGACCAGCAGCTTTTGACCACTGTGCTATTTTCCTTAGAAGACAAGGATGGGGAACCCAATGAACAAGTGCTTTAGAACTCTGAATCCCATCAGTCCCAGTCACATTGGGCTTATAGTCCAACAACTTCTGGGAGGAGCTACAGGTTTCCCACCCTTCTTAAGATTGAACTGTGGGGTCTGGCAGCAGGGCCCGGGTGCCACACACTCTAGGTCATGAGGGCAGCTCATATAATTCCCTCCAAACCATTTGGAGGCACTAAGTTAAAAGAAAAGAAAAGAAAAGTACTATATATGAGCCTCAGAAGGACGGAAGATACCATATGTGGCCTTAAGAGGATGTCCTGGGAAAAGACACTCTACTCTCTGTTTTAAGGGATCTTCCGGAAAGGAGCGCATCAGGATGTGAATTGAAATCCTAGTTATGCTGGATCACACCATCCCATATCATTTATTACGAATCCCAAATCCTTTTTGAGGGAGAATCCAATAGCTGGACATCCAAAACAATGTTTATTTTATCTAATGAAGTAAAAATTAGATTCTGTTGCCTCAAAAAAAAGTGGACTGAAATGGAAATTTGTCTGGATGACATCTACCCAGCCATTCTGTGATGTGTGTGTTTTCTTTTTTTTACTTTTTTGAAAAAAAGGCCTGAATAATCTCCAATATGGCACACTCAGGATCCCTTATAACAGATGATTAGTCATGCTGAAATTGAAGGGAATATTCATGGAATTTATTCCATATCATGTTTTCCTGTATACATTTTATAGTTCATGGGTAAAAATCACAAAAAACACATTCACTTACTTCACAGCTGCTTTGATTAATGCGCTTGATGATCTATGGCTGTAAGTAGCTGTTCCCTCTTTTCAATAAATATACATTTCCCTGAGCAGTGTAAATAACTTTGGCATTTTTTTCGCATGAGATTTTTAATAACACACTGTGTAGGCACGATGACAAAATCTTTTAACAGCATTACACTTTTGGTTAATTTGTAACATTATGAAAACGCTTCTCAAAGAAGGGAGTCTGCTTGAAGAAAAACTCCCTTTCTATATTTGTTCAGTGCTAATCCACAGAAAAATCCACTGACAGAAGCCAGACAAAAGACAAATTACATGGCTGTTGAGTAGTTTATTTTTCCAGATGGTCAACCTTCCACTATAGTTCACGGCTGAATAAAAGTCTAACAAACACAGTTGAAAACAGGCCCTTGCTATGTCATCCAAGTCAATTTAATAAATAGGAAAAAAAGCACAACCTGTGCTTCTTCTAAGCAAATTATCTGCAAGTTTGAAAAGCACTCCTGAATTGTACTGGAGTCGAATCACACCAGCAGGACAGCATATTTGGTCTGTTCTTAACAAAACCAACTTGTAAAAACTTCTATCCATTTCACTTGTTCTTGTGATTTGATTGTCTTATTTGTTGGCTCATGAAATATACGCTGGTTTTGTTTGCATAAAAAATAAATGTCATGTTGCTCCTGATTCATATGGTCAGGATTCCTGTCTGGGTTCTTCTTATTGCCTATTTTGAAACTTTTAAAATTCAAATGAGTTTTCACTTTTTTTATTACAAGATTTAATAGGGTTCTGGAAAGGCTATGAATATGTCGGTCCTTTCGGTGTCCAAACCAAGTGAGGGTTCTCCCTATTAGATTTCTTTTTTTCCTTTTCCTTTTGGTGCAGTGAGCATTAACCATTATGAAAATCAAACAAGAAAACCAATTTCTGCATTGAGAGCAATTCCCAAATTTTGGACATTGAGGTACATACTTAAATAAATGTAAGAAGGTAAAGGTAAAGGACCCCTGGATAGTTAAGTCCAGTCAAAGGTGATCTCGCTTCAGGCCAAGGGAACCAGCGTTTGTCATAACCCTAACCCTAACCCAGCGTTTGTCCACAGACAGCTTTCCGGGTCATGTGGCCAGCATGACTAAACCGCTTCTGGCACAACGGGACACTGTGACGAATGCCAGAGTCCATGGAAATGCCATTTTTGTGTATATATTTTTCTAGCCCCACATAACCTCAACTGGGACACCGATCCCTACATATTGATGTATTGTATTTAAATGAAATAAACCTATTTTTGAAGATTGGTCATAGTGATATCAGGGATGTGGGTGGCGCTGTGGGTTAAACTACAGAGCCTAGGACTTGCCAATCAGAAGGTCAGTGGTTTGAATCCCCACGACGGGGTGAGCTCCCGTTGCTCGGTCCCTGCTCCTGCCAACCTAGCAGTTCGAAAGCACGTCAAAGTGCAAGTAGAAAAATAGGCGGGAAGGTAAACGGTGTTTCCGTGTGCTGCTCTGGTTCACCAGAAGCAGCTTAGTCATGCTGGCCACATGGCCCAGAAGCTGTACGCTGGCTCCCTCAGCCAATAAAGCGAGATGAGCGCAGCAACCCCAGAGTCAGCCACAACTAGACCTAATGGTCAGGGGTTCCTTTACCTTTAACATATTGATATCATTGTCTAACAAAAACAACAACAACAACCCAAACATGTAGAGACAGGCTGTTCTCATATTCCAGGGATGTCCAACAGGTCGATTGTGATCTACTGGTAGAACTCCAGGAGGTTTTGGTAGATCACGGTCGAGCGCTGGGTCTTTTTCCTTAGCGTTGGTAAAATAGAATCCGGCCCCACCCTCCATTGTTGCACGATCTGCAGAACAGAAGATGGAGCTTACTCAATGAGGCTGTTTTTCCCCCCTGGCAATGTGTTGGTGAACCCTTAAAAAGGGGGGGGTAGATCACTGCGACTTTTTAATTCTGTAAGTAGATCACAGTCTCTTGGGAGTTGGCCACCCCTGCCATATTTGAAAGGATCAATTACAGAAATAGAGACACAACACTTAGGCTAATAACTGTTAAATCATATATAATAGAATAATGATATTCAAAAGATAGAAATAAATCTATTGGAGTTCATATATACAATGTAACAGACTAGTGGCGCACAACGTCAAGCCATGTGTTCTACATTCTGATACGACAGTGAGCACTGATCAATAGCATGAATCTTACTTACATATTTTGTGAAAACTATTGGCTGATGACGACTATACAGTTTAACAATTAACAATTCAAAACATTCCAAAAATTATTATTATTATTGTATATAATTTTTATTAGTTTTCCATTTAATAATATGCATTCATATCATTGTTATCCCCTTTACCTCCATGGCTCTTTAGAGCCCCCCAACTTCCTTCCCTCCCGCCTCATGGCTTTCAAAATCAACCTTTTTATCATTGCATTTTATACATTTTCCAATTCTAATTTCACTGATTACGAAAAAAACATTAAAATTTAAGTTAGAATAAAAAGAGAGAAAGTTTCTCATGACAAGTCTTCAGACAACCCTGCTAGTGTTGTTAATAAAACATTCCAAAAATTAAAATCAACAATAAGCTAAAAACAGATGAATGCACACACCAACAATCTAAATATATGGGTGGGCTTGTCTAAACAAAAATGCTTTTAGCAGGTGCCAAAGAGAATGCAGTGAATCTCAAACCACAGGGTGTAGGCAAACTCTCTTAAATCTCCATATACATTTAGATTTAAGCAAAGAAATATTTTTTGAAAAAGATTGAAGCAAAATAGTCACAGCTTCTTGCTATGTAGGGCCCCTTCTGCCTTTTAAGTGAAAATAAGTTTTCCCCCTCCCTTCGTCCATTTGTACACACACCTCATTTACACAAGTCTTCCGTTCACTTTAATGGTGCTCAACTCTACTCCTCCTGCATTTCCCCTATTCCCCTAAGCAGCTGTGGACCATAGTTACCCAAGAGTAGTTATTGATTTTGGAGGGCGGGGGGTATTGATCATTCTGGGGGGAAACGTCTCAGAAAATATCAATGCAGGATTTCCAGGCAGGAAAACAACAGTTGACAATATGTCTGCAATTACTATCTGGTTCGTGTTTGGTACCTGACACATGTTAGCAGCCTTGGAAGTGATCAGAGAAAGAAAGAAGTCTTGCAACAAATAGCTTGCAGTCTAACAAGGGAACCTCAGCAAGCATTTCAAAATGTAGACTTCGCAATCAATGGGCAACAATAAATACAGGTAGCTGATGGAAATGGGGTGTTTCCAGATCACCTGTTTGTTGAGCATTCATTCTGATTTCTTTTTCCAGGGAGATTTGATGATGTTGGCTACATAGTGAGTATTAATTTGGATTTATTTCTGAGCAGCTTAGTTGATGATGCATCAAAAGCTCTACGTGGGCCTGCCCTTGAAGCTGTCCCAGAAACTCCAGCGGGTGCAGAATGCAGCAGCGAGGCTCCTCACTGGGTCTCTGCCATGGGTGCAGTGGTTTTCCAGCTGCACTGGCTCCCGGTGGAGTACAGGGTCAGATTTAAGGTGCTGGTTTTGACCTTTAAAGCCCTTCAAGGCCTAGGACCCTCATACCTACGGGACCACCTCTCCCCATAAGCCCCACGGAGAGCTTCAAGGTCCATAAATAGCAACACCCTAGTGGTCCCGGGCCCTAAGGAAGTTAGATTGGCTTCAACCAGAGCCAGGGCCTTTTCAACACTGGCTCCGGCCTGGTGGAACGCTCTGCCTCATGAGACCAGGGCCCTGCAGGATCTGATTTCTTTCCGCAGGCCCTGTAAGACAGAGTTGTTCCGCCTGGCCTTTGACTTGGAGCCAATTTGAGTCCCTCCCCCTCTTTCTTTTTTCTTTTCCTTTCTCCTCCTGTGATGAGGCTGCATTTTAATATTTTAATGTTTCAATACTTTAATGTTGTATTTTAATGTTGCTTTTAAGTTGTATTCATTCAACTTGTTTTTATTATTGCTTGTTAGCCGCCCTGAACCTGGCCTTGGCTCGGGAGGGCGGGGTATAAATAAAAATTATTATTATTATTATTATTATTATTATTAAAAGAAGCGTTCTACACTTCCCAGTGCATTTTCCTGTCACTTTCCTTACTGCATAATGTCCAATATTGGGAGCAATTGTTGTGCAAGTTCTGCCTATCAGCTGTCACCCCACAACCTGGATCTCCTGATATGTGATTGAACCCCACACGGAAAAAGTGACCCTTCATCACAGCTGCATTCAGCATGTTTTGTTTTAGGAATTCAAGCCATCTGACGTGATTCTTTGACAAAATGATCTGCGGCACTGAAAGGAGCTAAAGTTACAGTACAGCAGCCACACACTGAAATTTCAGATTTCAATCTTCGTTGTTGTAAATAAATCACCCACATTGATTCATGAGCTCAGTGAGTTTTATTTCATTTCAGGTCTTAACAGGACCTTCTGCCTGATGCATAAAAGACACAGTGAGTCACTTTTCCTATTCTACATCACATTTCCTTAAAATTTTAAAGTCATGTCTCCTGGGACCTGAGTAACAGTAATTTTACTGACCACAGTGATGTTTGTTCAAAATCAAGATAATCCTTTGTTACCCTTCAATCCATTCATTTCATTTGCTTTCATTTTGCCCTGTGGGTTTTTGCAGAATGTGTTGGACAAATGCAGTTTATGTCATATTCTTTAGTCATTCTTAAATATGACGTTTCAGTTTCATGCTGCAGGGACAGCTTATCAGGTTAAACCCATGGGCCATAACAAACTCTGAAAGGCACCTGACATAAGATTACAATTTCAGAAATAGTGCGATTCAGTTTTGCAACAGGACATGAAAACACATTGCAATGGATGGGTTGTTCTTGTCAGCAATTCATGTGTGCAATCTGCTATTGAATGTCAAGGCTCCACTTCTGTTCACCAGAATGTGATTATAGCACAATGTATAGTCCAACTATGGAACACATGATTGCAAGATGCAGTCATGGCCACCAGCTACCAAGTGTATTTTTTTATTTTGTGTGTGCGCACTCAATAAATATTCTCATTTTTAAGACCTGTGTGAGTGTAAGTTACCAACTGAATCTGTGAGGACAGACTATTGCCACTGTCTAAAGATAAATAGGTACCGCTCCGGCGGGAAGGTAAACGGTGCTTCCATGCGCTGCTCTGGTTCGCCAGAAGCGGCTTAGTCATGCTGGCCGCATGACCTGGAAAAACTGTCTGTGGACAAACGTTGGCTTCCTCGGCCAGTAAAGCCAGATGAGCGCCGCAACCCCAGAGTTGTCCGTGACTGGACTTAACGGTCAGGGGTCCCTTTACCTTTACCTTAAAGATCCCGATATGTGAGATTCCTAGAATGTGTGTGCGTGAAACACATGCTAGCACTTTGCAAACAGAACCTGCATGAAGGTTGGCTGTGCTGATTTATATATACATTTTGGACTCACAGCTGTCCATGGAGGTGCAGGTCACTTCTGTGTCCAGGGCAGCTGTCTACCAGTTCCATCTGGTACGCAGGATGAGACCCTACCTGCCCGTGGACTGTCTTGCCATAGTGGTGCATGCTCCCACTTGAATTACTGCAATGCGCTCTACGTGGGGCTACCTTTGAAGGTGACCCGGAAACTACAACTAATCCAGAATAAAACATAAACTCCTAAGGCTTCATTAAAAATAACCCCAGTGTAGGACATTTCCTAGGAATTCTCCCTCTGTCAGTTATTATTAAGCAACAAGGAAATGTTCCAAATGTTGCTGACTTTTAAACTGACCAAGAAAAAAAAACCCTAGTTGCATGGAATATTTCTTTTTCCACTGGTAAGGACACAGCTATCTCTGTTCGCTTCCAAGAAGACCTACAAATAAATGCAAGCCAGGCCCAAGCAGGGCCACAGAGTGAGAGTTGTCAAGATGTCTAGCAGAGGTGCGAAAGATGGCTTCTCCTTACACTTGAGATAGGGGAGACAACTGTCTTTGGGATAAAATAGCAGCAGTTTTAATTCAAGTGGACAGAGGGCTCAGTCATGATCTAAAGCATCATGTGAGCAATTCATTCTGGAAACCTCATCTGAAGCCATACTGTACATTATGCACGGGACGCTGTGTATTTCTAATAAACCCAAAGGATAGTCACAGGTAACATTCAATGAGTGTACAATATGTGTGCCTGTGCATAACCTCGAACATTTCTCTCATAAAAATTGTTGTTGTTGTTGTTTAGTTGTTTAGTCGTGTCCGACTCTTCGTGACCCCATGGCCCAGAGCACGCCAGGCTCTTCCACAGCCTCCCGCAGTTTGGTCAAACTCATGCTGGTAGCTTCGAGAACACTGTCCAACCATCTCGTCCTCTGTCATCCCCTTCTTCTTGTGCCCTCCATCTTTCCCAACATCAGGGTCTTTTCCAGGGAGTCTTCTCTTCTCATGAGGTGGCCAAAGTATTGGAGCCTCAGCTTCACAATCTGTCCTTCCAGTGAACACTCAGGGCCGATTTCCTTAAGAATGGATACGTTTGATCTTATTGCAGTCCATGGGACTCTCAAGAGTCTCCTCCAGCACCAGAATTCAAAAGCATCAATTCTTCGGCAATCAGCCTTCTTTATGGTCCAGCTCTCACTTCCATACATCACTACTGGGAAAACCATGGCTTTAACTATACGGACCTTTGTTGGTAAGGTGATGTCTCTGCTTTTTAACATGCTGCCTAGGTTTGCCATCGCCTTTCTCCCAAGGAGCAGGCGTCTTTTAATTTTGTGACTGCTGTCACCATCTGCAGTGATCATGGAGCCCAAGAAAGTAAAATCTCTCACTGCCTCCATTTCTTCCCCTTCTATTTGCCAGGAGGTGATGGGACCAGTGGCCATGATCTTCGTTTTTTGATGTTGAGCTTCAGACCATATTTTGTGCTCTCCTCTTTCACCCTCATTAAAAGGTTCTTTAATTCCTCCTCACTTTCTGCCATCAAGGTTGTGTCATCTGCATATCTGAGGTTGTTGATATTTCTTCCGGCGATTTTAATTCCGGCTTGGGATTCATCCAGTCCAGCCTTTTGCATGATAAATTCTGCATATAGGTTAAATAAGCAGGGAGACAATATACAGCCTTGCCATACTCCTTTCCCAATTTTGAACCAATCAGTTGTTCCATATCCAGTTCTAACTGTAGCTTCTTGTCCCACATAGAGATTTCTCAGGAGACAGATGAGGTGATCAGGCACTCCCATTTCTTTAAGAACTTGCCATAGTTTGCTGTGGTCGACACAGTCAAAGGCTTTTGCATAGTCAATGAAGGACATAAAAATAGGGACATCCTATTCCATCATCATCATCATTTTATTATTTATACCCCGCCTATCTGACTGGGTTGCCCCAGCCATTTTGGGTGGCTTCCAAAACATATAAAAACATAATAATTTTTTTAAAAAACACACTTCCCTATACAGGGCTACCTTCAGATGTCTTCTAAAGGCTGTATAGTTACTTATCACCTTGGCTCGGGGGTCACATAACTCTATTCCCACCAACATTTCTCCGAGGAAAATAGGGACGTCTTAAGGAAAAGCTGGACATTCCGGGATCAGATCAGAAACCGGATCTGCTCCTGTAAATCCAGGAATGTCCCTGGAAAACAGGGACAAATGGATGGTCTGCCTGTGCAAACAACTGTTTGAGATGAACATTTGTACAGTTATTATTCACACGTAAAGTTCAGTGAGTGTCGAGTCTGCGTATCTGTGTGCACAGTAATTCAGCTGTGCAAATCAGCAACTTCCACACAAACACTTCACATTTGTAGAGAGAGATTGTACTCGTGATCTGTGGAAGGTAGGAATGAGCCACCAGGGGCTCACCAGGGGCTCACCATGTGAAGTGTCAGCATCGCCCTTGAGCCAGTGCCACCAACTGGACTCATCCACTTCAGCCCCGACTGGGCCAGGCGAGCTGGGTAGCACTTCCAGAGACCACCTTCTGCACAGGAACAGGTCAAAGTGCTGTGGACTCACAGCTTAGAGTTGTGAGCACCGGATTCACTCCAACAAGAAGACAGCCGTCGCACAGCAGAGTACAGCAGACTCTTGCAGAGTATATAAACGACTTGGAGAGCAGCTCTGTAGAATATCTTCTTTATTCTATCTACAACTATTATACAACTATATACAGAGCTTAATAGGTCTAAGCATAAATGAATGCTGCACTGCACTGAGTGTCTGCAGCTGCCCTTAGCAGCAACCTTATCTCTACACACGATCTCTAACACTCAGTCTCTCTCTCTCTCTCTCCAACACTGACTGACTGACTGATTTGGTGCTGGAGCAGAATAAGTAGAGAGCAGAACACGCCTCCTCCTCTCTGGAGAATCAGCAGACTCCTCAGAAGATTCTTGGATATGGGAGGGGTGAAATCTCCTCAACCAGCAAATAAATATGGGGAGAGGTCTCCCCTCAGTTGGGGTTGCCATAATTCCAGCAGTGAAAATCCTGGCAGAAAAGTTATTTGGGCAAAGTTGTTGAGCTTTCGTTTCGGTTTTGTTTGTTTTGTTTTTTTACATTCAGTGTACAGTGGACGCTCGGGTTGTGAACGTGATCCATACGGGATGCACGTTCGCAATCCGCAGCGTTCACAACCCGCAGCGGCGCATCTGCACACGCACAGGTTGCAATTCAGCGCTTCTGTGCATGCGTGACCCTCAAAACCCAGAAGTAACCCGTTCTGGTACTTCCAGGTTTTGGCAGGTCTGTAACCCAAAAAAACGCAACCTGAAGCATCTGTAACCCGAGGTATGACTGTATTTCCGGGAAATTCTGGATGTATGGCAACTCTACCGTCAATACACTGCTACACACAGGTCCCTGAAAGTGGGAGAGGCCTGTCTCTTTTGGCAACTGCACACACATGCAGAAAGCTGCTTCCGATATAACTTCTGGAGCTTCAGGGTTGCTTTAACAAGTCTGTCCTCCATGTGGAAATGTTACACTGGAACCATCACAGTCTCTTGGTGTATCAGTGAAGAAGTTCCTATGTTTCCGTTCCTAGACACATCTTTGGGAAAGCCATATGCCCACATTTCTACACAGAAGTGTCTCCTTGCTTGCTTGCTTGCTTGCTTGCTTGCTTGCCTTCAGAAGTCTGCTTGTGTTGTGTTGGAAGTAACACAACAAACCCTAACTTGACAGCAAAAAATGGGAACTTATTCAAAGATAACTATGAAAGATGTTGGGCTGAAGTGAAAAAAGACTTAGAAATTTGGTCAAACTTGAAGCTTTCACTGCTGGGTCGTATTGCTGCTGTAAAAATGAATGTATTGCCTAGAATGTTGTTTTTGTTTCAAACATTGCAAATTGTGGACAAAATGGACTGTTTCAAGAGGTGGCAGAGAGATATTTCTAGATTTG